ACCTTCAGACATTTTGCACTTTTGCGTATTTTTATCACCGGGTAGTTTTTTACTGTGACATGCAGTGAANACATGCAGTGAAAAGAATAAGAAATGCTATTTCAAGAAATGTCATCGATGGACTGGCCAACAACTCATTAACCTCTCAGATGTCTATAACGAATTCATCCAAAATAACAACAGAAAAGCGGCAACCTCCAACCTCTTTTATGCTGCCAAACAGTTATGTGGACGTCTTCTCGATTTTTACGTTTATACTCACCGATAAAATATCTCGTGGCACCAGATTTTTGAAGTAATTTTTCCACTGTTTTACATATCAAAAGAGATAGCACTGAAATCCTGAGGTATATGGGCAAAGTTCTCGGAAAGAACCCCATTTCCACCAATAATTTTAAATGTTTTAAATGTTTATTGAATTATTACAATGGCAGTGACGTCGGGCAACCGCAAAAAATGAGCATTCCGTTACATTTGTGTGACGGTGAAGTGCATATTTCATTCGAAAGGTAAAAATGCTTGACGTATTATTGCAAATTCAAGTTTCGTAACTTTTCATTTTTATTCTGATCGATAATCCTCCATAATTAAAAAACAGTGAGCTAAACTGTAATATGCTTGGTCACGAGCGTGGGGCAGGGCATTTCCGTGACCGGATGCACGAGACAACCGACTGCAAGCCGAGTCTCGCATGGGCTGGAACTTTCGACGGACAGGAAGTGTTTGTGGGATAGAAGTAGTAATTCTAACTAACCTCGAACTGCAAAGAAGGACCGAAACCGAAATAGATGATGATTAGAAATGGAACACAGGCTTAGGAATAGTCCATGATTGATTGTTATCAATGTACATTCAACCGTCCATACAGTATGCCATTCAAGCCTTTAGTCCACAGGCTACAACGTGATGCCGGAGCGTCCACAATGGATTTCCAACAAAATGGAGAGATTACGGCCAACGAGACTACATTTGTTCGGTAACGCCGACTTCGAGGAAACTTGATTTTGGTTCATCAAATATCGCAGAATCTAAACCTACTTGCACTTAAAATGAAACCGGTATTTCTATCTGATTTTCCAGTGAAACCTACGATCAAAACACAAGGGAGATAAAATATTGTTAACACTGTAATATGCACATCATTGATAAGAATGAGAAAAGATTTCAATTTCTCCCGGTGCAGTATGATATCTTTTCCACCGAGACGCTATCTGGTTCATCACTCCAAGTCTCAAGACTAACTTTGTAGGTTTCCCACGGATTTGCACTCAACTAAATATTTCGTATTTAACGCTCATACTCTCGGTTGACCTTCGCGAACATTCGTGACCGTAGACAAAAATTGAAACTGTTCATCGCTAGCTTGAATTCGCTGTCCCCTTAATTTTTTGTTCGACTAGACTCACTTATACTCCCTTAAATATCTCGCAAATCCCGTGTTCCCTCATCTTACACTCGATTCAGCGCAGGTTTGCGTGCAACGTCTAACCGTGCAACTCCCCTCATCTCTCATCTGAGTATGAATTTTCCCTGTCACGAATTTCAACTCTTTCGCCTGAAGCTTCTTCTTTCATCTTTGCACCACAAATAGCGCATGGAAAAATAGGGTATTGTGTGGAGAGCTGGTGGAAGTAATGCGTGCGGATTTTAAGAGGGAGCTTTGCAGGAGTGTAAGATCCTGGGACATGCGTGAATGCTTAAGTCAATAAGTCCATGGTTAAATTGTGGGCGTGGTACAACCCGGTCGCCCAGGCCGAAGTAGAGGGTTATCATGGGGGACTCTACCCGGGACCTTTGGTTAAAGAACCTGACCCACAAAGCGGTGGGGAGGAGTAGGGAGTCCACGATCCTCCGGGGGCCGATGACTGGGGGACCAGTTCATGCGCCTTTCAGATGTGGCCAACTATCCAGGGTACCCAAATTGCCCTTAAGCTGCGCACTTGCCGGTGAGCGTCACGGGGGACAACTCCAAACGTTAACGTTGGAGAGTGGTTCGGTTTCGCCGAGTACTAGTGCCACTATGAGCTTATTACGCCGGGTGTGGGTGGTTTGGAATCAGGGTTTAGCCAACTTGCCTAGACTGACTACCAAAGGTCAGTCAAGCTGGTGGAAAGCAACGAGCATTCGCCTTTGCCCTCCCACTTTAGTTTTAACACCTCCACCACGAGAAGGCAGTGGGTAGGGGTTCCTCAGTAGAAGCTATTTGAGGCGCTTGGTCGTTTGCGNAATGACCATTTCGGAGCCCGAGACGCGCACTTCCGACCATACTGAGGCATTTGGAGGCTTACCTGTCAACATCATTCACAATCGATTGTCTTGTTTTGTACTTGATCGAATTCGGGCTTGAGTGAAATCAGAGCTAGAGCATTGAAAACCGATTCGTTTTCAATGCCGCCTAAACCTCTTTCATGTCAGTGTCCCGCAAACTCAAGCCCTGTTACTCGAAAAATGAGGATGGTACAACGAGCGCCCTTTCATTGGCTGCGCTACGTTTTGTGTGCTCGTCGTCTCACTGGATTTTATTGTTATCTCGATGTCAAACATGTTCCGGACCCATACATACTCTCGTCAGGATATGCTTAGATTGAAATCGGTTAATCCTGTGCCTCACACAAATAATATCCTTGGAGAATCTGGCAATCATGCTTGGATCGAGAAGCGCAAGCGTGCTGGATGGCAGTGTGCGCTTAATAGCATCCCTCCTGCCAAGATAACCGTGCCGTCATTGGTCAGTACCAACGTTCACTCTCTCTTCGCAAAGATCTCGGATTTAACTTCCTCACTGAACCAACGCATACATTCCAACACGTGTCGTATGTATACAAGGAACCTGGTTAAATCAAAACGTTGAGGATGCTCTCGTGCAGATAGATCGTTTCGACTGTTACCGGCAGGATAAACAACATAGCACGAAGAAAACTGGAGGTGGTGTGGCAACGTACATCAACACTTCTTGGTGTGACAAGCCTGAAGTGATTTTCAGCTATTCTGAAAAATCCATTGACTGTTTATCCGTTCGTTGTCATCCCAGATTTCCCCGATATAAAAGTACAATCATTACTAATGTTTATATGCGTCTTTCGTGCTGCCAATCAGATATAACCCTGGGGCACTTGGTAGCAGTTGCTATACAAACCGCACACGAACGCACAAGTGTAACAATCGCTATAAATTCAACAAGCTGACCTGATTTAAAGCACCAGAGTTGTCTTATGTCTTAATCAGAGATTTGTCATTAAATTCCGCGTATGTTCTCTGGGTTATGTGGATGCGGGTAGGCTAAAACGTTACGAACAACCCGCGGGTATCGACGGACCTTTACAGTGATCTCGCGAATACTGGTACCCATGTCCTTGTAAGTGAGCATTTGTCCTTTTTTCAGCTCCGATAGTCTTGAAATGTGTGCCATTCTTCTGCCTAGACAGATGACGTCTCCATGAACCCAATCAGGACGCTTGATCACGGCGAGCATCATACAGTTACTTCTCGTGATATGAATATTGTTCCATACTGTAAAACTGGATATCTGAGGCATTGCTGACTCATACAGCTACAGAGTGCACTCAGAGTGGTATAACTCAGTTTGACAAAGTACAATCAAGGTGTTTGGTTTCTCTGCACAGGAATGAGGTGAATCACCAACAATTCGAATTCGCTGTCTTGGTGGTTCGGTTACTGAGACATTGCGGCGCTAATAGTACTTCTTACACTATATTTGGGGTTGTTCAGCTACAATTAACTGGATCCTGTACAGTTTAGTCAATACCGACATCAAAACGACGGTGGGAGGTATGAACTACCCTCACGACTCTTGGATATAGAACCAAACGCGTGAAAGAATGCATTGGATACTATGGAAAGGAAAGACTGTCCGATAGGCGTATTATACGATCAACGGGAAACCGAAATCGTGAATTGGACTATTTTTCAAATAAATGCCTTAGTATGAGAAACGCCATATCAACTTCCCAGTCTGATTTGAGCGGCCGGGTATGGTACAGAGTCGTCGAAACTAATAGCATGGACGACAGGAAAAATGTGCACAAAGGACATGCAAACGAGATCCAGTTGTTAACTGACTTCGAAGAGCATATTGACAATTTACTTTGTTCATGGGTTCTGATACAGAAGTGATGGAGAATGAATTGAGAAAATCAGGATGGATGAAGCACAAACTAGAGCCAAAGAACAACGACGAAATCTGTTCAAAACAATCGTGTGGCTTAGCGGGAGTGAGAAATGCACATGGCTAAATAAATAGAATACTGAAGAAGAAAAAAACAAAGATTAGAGCACAATGGTGCAAAACAAAATAGACAACATCACTTCCGACGCCATCGGTGCTTATAGTAGTAACAGGTGATCACAGTTCGACAGATTGAGTGTAAGAGATGCCAGAGTGGGAATGAAACCAAATGCCATGGTAAGAATCAACGGACCCGATAAGACAATGTAAAGGATATTAGATATGGCGGGAGAATGGAGAGAGAGAAAACATGAGGACTGTGCAAATAGGGAGTGAAAGAGGTGAAAAGTATTACCTAATTACAAATCCTAGGCAGGGGCCAAAACACGCAGGCCGACATGTAAATGAGACGGATTAAAGCATGCTGGTGATTGATATGCGATGCAACACAAGACGCGGAATAACCAGAAGAACACACAACTATATGGATACGGGTATCGAAAACTGTGGAAGCAAATAAGGGAGTCAAGTGATGAAACCCCAAAAAATGAAAGGCCGAAATGCATGATTGTATGAGAACCACATCACTAAAGTGCAAGAGTGACGGCTGAAGAAGCCGAAATAAACCACCGAGAGGTGTGAGTGAAGGGACTTGTTGATGCAAGATCGCGGAATAGTAAACAAAAACAGCGAGTTCCAAATGCCTTGTAAGCAGTCTGAGACGAATGCAAAATGAGTTACGGATAGGTGAAAAAACGAAACTAGGTTACTGGATGGGGTTTGTGGGCAGTGCGAATAGACAACAATCAGCTGATCACAACTCTTTCATTGATACATAAGAAAGAAGATGTTCGGGTAATGGGAGTCGGCGTAGTTTAATTCGCATGGAGTCTGTGTTGCCAAGAGCACGCTGGATCGCCACGCGACAGAGGCGTTTGAGCGATCGCACATTACACTCTTCCCAGTGCAACCATTGAGCTAATTCATCGTCACCGTGTATACACTCTTGGGGAATGATCCCGTGCACCAGGAGCCAGCGTGTAAAACTGGCTAGATTGACCGGATCGCATCCGTAACTTAATAACAGTTTGACCATCGGAATGTCCAGTTTGGGAAATTTGACAGCCATATGTAATGGGCCCAAGCCTTCACGATCAACACGATTCACCGATGCGCCAGCATTCAAAAGCTTTTGGGCCAAAGCCAGGTGACCGTGTAACACAGCCACGTACAACGGAGTTTTCCCATTCTTGTCTGCGGTATTCACATTAGCTCCGGCATCTAACAACAAATCCACGATTTCGGAACGTCCGTGATAAGTGGCCACATACAATGGTGTTTTCCGATGTGAATCTGTTTGATCGACCTGGAGAGAGGATGAAGACCAGCAATCAGAAATCGACGGTTTACGTGAGACGGATGGGTTACGATTGAAAATGAATATAACACAAATTATAAGCAATAATTAAATTGACTCATGGAGTAGATACGAATTTTATACAGAAGTTTAGGAAATATTTTCGTCACAAACGTGTCAACCTATATTCAAGGTCATTGTTATAATTGCACCTAGTCCTTTGAGTCAGAGCATATCATATACTGTGACAATGCTTCAATTGAATGGCACAATGACCTATTATGAATGGAGACTATTTTTCCTCCATCTCTGCATGTACATTAAATTTCCATCCCCCCCCCCCGCATAAAAGATTTTTTTATTGCATCCCCATCCTGACTCGTCCCTGATTAGCCAGTATTGGCAATTTTTGAACTTTTGACAGAAACTGCAAGGCAGAAAGTGACAGAACCGAAAAATGTATATAGACAGATGAGCTCGTTGTCCAAGTTGCCTTTAAGTCGAATCAAATACACACCCTCATTTGAATGCCCGCCTTCTTGTCTCCTTCCGAAACGGTCGGGTGTCAGGGTAGGAGTACTTCGCCTGGTATCTATTGACTAAACTCGCAATGGCTTAAGTATCGAGCAGGAACTCGGCCATGCGTCCATTCGCGTTGGCCGTGATTACCGCTCGTTTCTTTGGATCAGAACAACCCGCATGACTAACAGGAAATATTTTTTACTCTCTGATTTATAATAGAATCAGGAATATTCTATCGTTAGCCGATTCGGAGCTATGCAGTCAGAACCAAGTGTTTTGGTGGCTTAATTTCCATTGCTTCTTAGCATTTTTCGCCTGAAAATAACTATTTCTGTACGGCATTTGATCTGATCTTGGCTTAATTTGTGAAATTGTGTCAATATCTCGTAGCATCATCATGCATGCTTGCATCCATAAAAAGTGGTACGGGGCGAATTCAGCTATGGGTCTGAGTAAAAACTATAAGTTTAGGAAATTAGTATACTACTTATCAAGACGACTAGACTTGTCTGTGGGTTTTCTCGAGTCCGTGAACGAAACGGATTACGCGGTTCTAGTTTTCTTGAATTTCAATTTGTGATGAAGGGATAAAAGGAACAATAGTGTAGCACTTCAAATAAACCGTCTCATGATCATTTAAATCCCACATCACTTCATAACTTGTCCACTCCATTCTTCAGCCATTGTTATCATTCTATCTGAAGATCACAGGAAAACAGAAGTAAACAAGAATAATGAGTACCAAAGAGAGAAAGGAAGGAAAGGAAACAAGCACGAAGAAAGACGAAGACAAACCTACCTGAGCACCGTGGCGTAATAAGGTATTGGCGATTTCCAAATAACCAAAATAAGCACTGATATACAATGGAGATTTGTGTTCCTTGTTTGGAATGTGGAAATCCGCATTCAGGTTGATCAGATAGTTGACCACTTCCGTATGACCCCGACACGAGGCCAGATAGATAGGAGTACGACCGTATTTATCCTACGAAAAAAACAGAAGAGAAAAAAAAGTTGCCCGAAATAGGTTGCTCGCAAAGCGCGGACAGGACGGAAGCCTTTTTGGTGAAGACTTCAGTGAATGTCAGTAACTACCGCCGGACAAATAACACACAAAGGTGGAATTATCAATACGATTGGTCGACCAGTACAAAAAAGTGACACGGAAAACGTCGAATAGATCGTAGAGCATTTACAGGCAGAACAGATTACCTTCGACTCAGTGTGCTAGTGCCCACTACAAAAAGGACACTGTTGAGATTGGCAATTCAGTACGGATCGTCGTTAAAAACGAATCGACTAAAAAATTAAGCAAACGTAAAAGCACCTCTGTTGTGCGACACTCAACGAAATCAATCAAGGGGCCGTAACTGTTGAACCCCGAGGCAGCCGACCGGGAAGTTCGATGAAACCAATATAAGCAAAACATGTATTAATGATTTTAATACCCTCATGTCAGGTTGCAGTTTGATCAACTTTCAGTTGGGCTCTATCCACTATTTGTCACGGCAAACATCGCGCACCGCGGAAGTCTATCTGGTTACGTATGTAATGCTTATTTCGGCTATCTGGAAGCACGGAGACTAAATAATTGCTTCAGTACGCAAGTTCCATTACCTAAAACTCGGCGTCTGACCTAGGTATTGCTTATCCGGCCTCCCAACTAAACTTATGCAGTATGGTGTTCAAACACTCGACCGTAGTTGGCTTGTTGGTGTAACGGGCATGTGGTTGCACCATACGGGAGAATCGGCAAACACTCTACTCTTCAGTGACAACTGAATATCACAGCTGCGGCTAGGCAAACTTGGTCCTGTAACACTTTTCACTTTGAAGGGGCAAACCGAATGACGTATATAGTTACACTAACAAAAAAATACTGATTCACTGGAAACTGATCAGAATCTTCATTCAACAATACAATGTCTTTTGCATACTCTAAATTAGACAGCCCGTCATCTGGAAGCACATCGCTGCCGCTATCCTGGCTAGAGGACTGGGCGGTTTTCATAATTAACTCCATCACAAAGATGAATACAACAGACGACAGAAAGGACAACCCTGAAGAGCTGTTTTCTGAGGTGAACTCGAGAGGAAAAGATTTGTAAGCTCGAACTAGGCTTCGACCATCCGTATAGAGGGTTCGTAATACTGAAATAAACTTCTCGGGTGTACTTTTTGAAGAGAGGCAGCACCACGTGTCAGTATATTCGACTGCGTCGAACACCGACTCTGGAGCAAGGACGACGGAAATTAGCGGCCCAAAACCAGAATATAGGCATTCCACAACTTAGCGAATGGTGAAAACAGTCGATGAGTCCTTAACCCGGTATAAGTCAGACTGATTCGCACGCGAGTGGGGCTCTCTGTGTGGGAAATATTCCGTGGAGCATAATGCCAGCAAGGAGCTTAAAAACGAAGATCATTAAACCAAATTCTCTATGGATTTATGGCCTGTCTTTTACATCGATAAGATGACCGATTCAGACTATGCATATGGAACCGGCTCACTTTTCAATATGGAATCCAGGAGTTTCGTAAACTTTCAGACAACGTAAAACCTTTATTTCAAAAATTGTGGGGTCAACCCATTTTAACTAGAGGATATACACCTTTCGAGATAACCTACTATCCGAGTAGCACCCTTTTTAGGAGAACGGGTACCAGCTGGAAATTGGTGCTCATTGAAGCAGGACTTGGAAAATCAAATGCCGACGAAGGCCAGTGAAACTGTACCTTGAAATGTGTTTCCATCACTACAGACGGTATTGCTGAACGTGAATCAATGCGTTGTCGGACTCCTTAATTACCTCATTTATGCCTTGTTTCTGTGGACTGGTACCCTTGATCAGACAGAAAAGGTTGCAATTCTTAACAACAGTCACAGTCTTCAGCAGCATCCAACATTTTGTTACCCACCATTGATCGTCATCCATATCGCTCGTCCTCACATTGATGATAACATCTCTTCGACGGTGATCACAACCGCAGGTGTGTCCGAATGCGTCGTGGCACATATGGTACAGTTGCGGTGTTTTAGCCCCATACCTGGGAGCTATACGAAAAGGTAACGGCTATCCACCAATACGGAATCTGTCGCAAAAACTCTATTAGAAATGAGCAGTACCGAATTAGTTCGAAAAAACGCTATGACTCATATAATACTGTTGAAGATGAAGCGATTGCATTAGTAGTGCACAAAGCAAAGCCATCTTTACCATCAGTACCAAGGAAGCCTGTTAGATATATGCCTTTCGTGTCTGTGTTGCCAGTACACTTAGACTACTGGATAAACCCATGGCGGGAGAACGGACCTATCTTACAAATGGAATTCAGAATACACAAACATACCGAAATAGATCATACACTCGGTGACACAATAAACAACAAATGTACCTTCTAAAGTGATAAATTTTGGCTCTTTGATAGCAGAAAAGCTTATGCAAACTCAAAACCGTGGCACGAAAGTGCAAGACTAACGGCTGCGAAAGTTAAAAATTGAAGCACAAGTAACCTGCCACCATGCAAATAAAACATTAACCGAATTGTTGTTTGGCAGATTGAAGTCTTATGTTGAAACTGTGAAACATTTAGTAGCCTCGTCGAGATGCGAACCCACGAATGGATGCCACCTACGCTTTTTGTACAGCGCACGCTATAGGAATTACTAATTTAAAACCAGTCGGAAATTTCAAAACAAATTCGACCAATAAACGGGTACATACCTGAGCATCTAACAGGTCAGGAATGACAACTCTGCTCGTTGTCTGTGTCGAAGTTATACCGGAGCCATAGAGAGTAGGGGAACCAGAGAAATTGGCAGAACCGCTGGTTACTTTCAAGCTGGATCCGAAGCCGTTTGGGGAGGTTGAAGTATGCGTGGTGCTCGTTGTGCCACTTGCATTCACTGGAGAAACTCGTTCTAGCAGATAGCGAACCACACTGAGCGCACCTACATAACACGCATGATGTAACGGCGTCATGCCCACTTTATCCACTGCGGCAACGTTGCAGCCAGCTTTCACCAGTGCAATTGTCATGTTCAAACCACTGTTTCCAGCCTCAGCAGCAATCATAAGGGCTGTCATACCTGAAAAAGAGTCGGCAACACGTGAGGCAGGTCGAGAATCACACAAAGCAAGCACTTTACGGTGGGTGTTAAAAGTGTAACAGAATCTTATATAGCATTTAGAAGACCACGAAGAACGTATCAGCAAAGCCAAATGAAGACATCATTATGGTAACTATAAATCATCAGACCAAACAAACCAAAGTAAACTGGAAAAACTGGATCGAAATTGATAAAAGACACATTTGGACAAGTACCGATTTTATCCGGTCGATCTAAATCCAGACGTGGTCTAATGTACACCTGCGACGGAGAGATTCCTCCGGGTGGACTTGCAGTAGCACCCATCTGTCGAGCGGCGATCGAATTGGAATGAGAGGTTTGCACAGACGACGCGGCTTTCGTCAGAAAACGTTGGACTCGGTCACAATTCTGCCACCAACCTGTCACGTCTGAAAGGATGCAATGAGAACGGAGCAATAAAAAACCTAGTTTGTGTACCAAACCCATTCCGTTCGCGTTGGAAAGCGATTATGAAAAATAAATTGGAACCAATTGCTCTTCATTTGTAACTAATTTAATAGTTAATCAACTACTGTCCAGATGGGGAACAAACAGCATCCCCTCAAGCTAATAAAAAGAGATCTTTCTACAGGAGAAGTGGCCAGTCGAAGTGCTACTATGCTATAAAAAGATATGTGAATTTCAAGCCGTGATAGTGAGATTCGAATACATAACAACCAGGGAAATTTGATGACTTTCTAAACCACCAGATCACCATCACGAAGCACTGATGAAGATCACGACGGCTTCGTTGAACAACCAACTGATCCTTATAAGCCCTAATTTTAATTACCTGATTCATGGGGAATAACGTGATTACCCGAGCATTCTTCGGGACGATAATCTTGCGACTAGGCAAAAGAGTTTCTGAAATGCATGTCGACATTGAGAAACTAAATTTCTCGTCTTTATTAGTTGTCACCTCTCGTCTTGAAATCACAAAACATGATTCGTTCAAGAATGCATATCCAGTATCTGCTCTATAATGTGCTCAGGTAGAAGGAAATTGATAACGATAAACCAACCGATCAATTTCATTTGGGTGTAGTAGAGGGAGAATTAGTTCAAAGTATACAAAACTCTACGTTTGAGTGTGGAAACTTGGCGTGAGGTAGAAAAAAAAGAAAACACAAATGAGTTCATTTGAAACTGGTAACCGAAACGTTACATCGTAAAATAAAAGCAAGGTGAAACATCAGCTATTTTGATTCTTCTACGTCCCTTAAATGCAAACTCACCACTAGGATTTCCCATACTATGACATCGTTGGCAGTTCTCTGTTTTTCGAAATGGTCCAAACAAATGCGAGCTACCACTGTAACTAGAGGCCACAGTGGAACGATGATGATCGGTTCCAGTGAGATGGGAAGATGATTGTAACCGGAAATTTTTTGCGCTCAAACGAGTCAAACAAGAACGGAGTCGTGTGGACCCCAGCACAGAGTCATCATGGTCATCCCCGACAGGAACTGCATGGTCCTCAGCATCCACATCCTCAACACGTGATGAAGACTTAAACACACAGGACCTGGGACATGGGTGAGCACGGAGATACTGGCCACTGTATGCTTTGAGTGTAACATCAGTGCTACGCTGAACAGAATGCCAATTCACAGAAGCTGCTGAAGCAGCTCGAATGAATCCGCAGTCACTGACTGTGCCGGTTGTGACGCGAAACACGGCGCTTCGAGCTGATGCTAACGTGAGACGAGAAGCGACAGAATTGGACGACTTCGATGATGAAGTGCGCACGGGATTCGATTCGACCGGGTAAATATCTTGATTCAATCCATTAGACTCCGCAACGACTGAAGAATCTTTCATGTCGCCCGGAGTTAAATCCTGGGCTGCAGATGGTGATAAAGGCTCTTGTTCGTCCTCTTGCTGAAGTTGATCCTCATCTTGAGACGGCTGATCTGCGCGTAACAAGGCCATAAGCACGGCCTCACGACGGTCTTTCACAGCGGTCAACAAAGGTGTATCCCCGTCTCGACTGCAAATATTCACGTCGGTGTTCTCATACTAAATTAAAAAAGAGAAAATGAGGAAGACATAGGGGAATTTACTAAACAGAATAATATTGTTGACACATAGCAAATAACACTCAATCTGAATTACAAACAAGAGAAAATACGGGAAAAAAGCAAAGGTGATCAAACATAGGTGTCGACAAAAAAACTAGTTAGCTAAAACGCGTGATAAAACGTCCAAGCGAAAACAGATTTCCCTACTTCTTACCTCTATCACCATGAAAAGCACAGAAAATCCAGTTGTGTCAAAAGCAGTGTGCGTGCTTCAAAACCGATCTCAAAATCTGCCTGTTTACGAAACCGGTTTACCACTGGAATCGCATCTACAAACTGAGCAAAACTAACATCTTTCAGCCAGTCACATGGAAGCATTAACAAGGTACAAAANTTGAATTGATTTAAATTCTGTAGCTCTATTGGTGGCCTCAGTACCCTCACCTAGTACATCAAATTAACTATCTACAACGAAGACAGAGAAACGTGCATGTTACCGATATTGTGACAGAACTTGGCATAACTATCCAGCAACTTTTCGCACAAATATGTTGATTGTAACTTTTTACCTTAAGCATTTTATCCTAATGCGACCTAGTGAGTTTGCAAAAGCTCAACTTGCTTTCACTAGCCTACTTTTATTTTTTATTACACACAAAGTGATCCATAGGTAAACCGCATAGTCAATGACATACTGTGAGAGGGGAGGTATGGGGGGATATTCAAGTCAGAATCAATTTGTCAATCCTGTTTTTGAAAAGAGTAGGATCATAAGTGGTTGGGGCCACGGAAATGGGAAGTGTTCCATAATTTCCCAGTCCTGGGGAAAACAGATTGAAAGATAGAGGTTCGATGTATGGATACAGAAAACTGATAGGGGCGTCTGCCCACGTGAGAACGAGAAAAGGTCAAGGGGATGGAAACCAATGAAGTAAGTTCAGAAGAGCAGAAGCCACAAAAGCAACGACAGAAAAGAGATAAAGAAACAACTGTCTGATGATGAGAAGACGACTGCAGATTGGAAGTTAAAGACGGTTAACGGATCAGTCGGATGGCCTTACGTTGAACACGGTTGGGGAAAGAACGGAATACGGAGCTACACCCGATACGTGACTGTAGTATTCGAGCATCGGGCTGATTTGAGCTCTGTGTAAAAGGCGTAAAGGAGCACCTGAGAAGGAATAGAAAACCGACTTTGCGCGCAGCGCGGGGTGACTATGGAAATAAAAGGGGACCAACAGACAGAAGGTATGGATTACCACAGCAGGGAGAGAGAATTTGTGGAACGAGGCATCAGTGAGACAAAAGGCAATTGGGGATGATAAAAAAACGGTGGAGAGTCTTGGAGGCATGGACACACATGATGATATAACCCCAACTTACTTTACTGCGGCTGGCTCCTTGGAAAGGATAAGCCGGCCCCAGACATGATCAAGATCATGGAGTTCCTTGGGAGTTTGGTACGAGAGACGTCCCCAGTGTCACTCGGCTTTTTTTTATTTTGAGGGCCCATCTCTAGCCTTTGCACAACCAAATGCGAACTTCAAGACAGCAGGAAGTAATCCCTCGCCTCGGAAATGAGGGGGTCAATTACTTTAGTTTTAAAAGGCCAGTCACATCGACCTCTGTCACGACACCGTCACTGGGCTTATGCGGCTTTTAAATAGGACCAGCCTGAAACCCACCACACCCTGGTAGTGCCACCGCTGTTTGTTTCAAGCGGAGATGAGTAAAAGATATTGCGGTCGTGATCGGTATTAGCCGCGGCCTGAACTGGGTCATGGAGTTAAAATTAGAATTGTATAGTGGAAAACCTCCAAGCGGTTGCTCTTCTTGTCCCACACGGGTTTTCGCACAGCTGGATCGATTGGCGGTTCACAGAAAGATAACTGAATACTATACATTTTTTTTGTTCTGTGTACTGCTACGTTTGTCGAAGTTTGACACTTGACATCGTTACATCTAGTTTGTACCTGAAAGAATTAATTTTCGGCATAGAAACGTGAGATGGTAGACAACTCCAAGGTGGAAGTGCAGAAACTACGTGAGAGCGCTTAAGCGAGAGACCGGAATGTTTGGTTACCACTGGTGGAAGAAGCCAAGCGCGCAGCTTTGTGACAAATGAAGTTTTCTTTAGCTCTGTACAGTGAGCAAGCATCTGTTTCTGGTCTGCATGAAGCGGTTGCGGGATGTTGAGTTGGGTGATTCGTACCAACGACGGAATGATGACGATAAAACGTACAGCACGGTTGCAAGCATGACTAAATCACTCAGGGGATCGTGGTTTGAAGGGATGGAAAAATCTGGAACATCAAGATACAGTTTTTTATTACACACCTAGGTGTAATGAACAGCAGACGGGGTAAACCCCATAGTCACGAGGACCAGCTGTTCAGTGGTTGAAATCGGCAACCTAAGCCCCGGAACTTGGAGTGGCGAATCACATAAGGCCCGGATAGGTTAAGGGTGGTATTGAACCGGACGACGGCAGAGCTGCCTACCACCAAAGTCGGGTGGAGATTGCGGGGGCTCGAACCTCGAACCGCAGGGTCCAAAGCACGGCATATACATACATTGAAGCACAATCTATGAGAAGTTTGAAACAGAAGTGGAAACATAAGATTTTAAACAACAATCATTCCAGGGATAACAGACCAGAAAGTCACAAAACTCGTCCCCGTTGGCGGGGTCAAAACGCCATAAGGTGCGTCTAGAGTCAGATGGTGAAACGAGGCGAGAGAAGTGAGTAAGAAAGATAATGAGGCAATGGTGAGATGAGCCTAATGAGGAAAGAGAAGTGATGTTGGAGAAATCAGAGGGGATGGATGTGAGAATAAGGTCAACGGTGTGGGCGCAGTCACCAATACAATTAGGGATGCATGTGGGGAGGTCAAGTAGTTGGCTCAGGTTGTTAGCCATAGCAAAAGCCTCGGTTTCGCGACTCATGAACATAGTGTCTGAGGCGTTCTTGAGCAACTCCTTGTTGCGGACACTGAGATCGCCGACAACGGTAATTTGGTTGTTAGGATCTGCCGCTATTAGTGTCTCAATGTTGCAAGGTGGAATATATTTATCACCGGATTGAGAACAAGCACAGTGCCAACGCAAAAACAATGATAGTAATGTTAGGAAGGGGCACACAGAGATGAAATGAACATGGGGAAAACAAATGAATGACTTTTTTATAGTTTTACTATACACTTGTTGAAGTTCTTTTGTCTGTGATGGGGAACGGGGTTTCGACAAACAAACCGCACACCAACCGCGCTACTGAATTCTATTCTGAGACATATCTCTCAGCGTCTCTAACGATCAAAGATCCTCATCCCTCGGGCCCCAGCCTGGAGGGCGACCTGCACCAACCGAAGCCAATGCTGAGGCTAACCTCTCCATACCTCTACGTCATGTCATGATCTGACCGCGGCGGTGCCTCTTCCAACCTTACCCAGCACGTGCAAAGGAAGCACGGAGAGGTAGACAATGGGCTCGGGAGAGCACAGCTGTATGCTACCGAGCGCGTCCCCAGGTAGCGGATAGGGGAACGGCCGTCATCTTACGGCTAACCGTGAATAAGTTGAGCCTCAGCCCTCCGAATAAGCGGTCGCGGACGATCAGCGGCAGCGCTCGAGGATGTGGTGGATTTACCCCTGGCAAGAGTTCTCCGTACAAAACGACACATATATCTGTGGACAGCGGTNCCCGCCACTAAATATGGTCATTGCTCCCTGTCAAGATTCATTGCTCGGCAAGGCTTTCTAGAAGAGGTGAATGAACCAACTACTGGCCACCGGCTCATCTGGAATATTGCTGCTGCCTTGCAGTCTGCGCTTGGTTGCACAAAGGTTAGAGTGCACTCTGGACCGGGTGACCGAGTAGTACAACAGCCCACAACACCAACAACGATGATCTATTCGAATTCTACGCGCATCCAGTCCACTATTTCTGCAACTAGAGGTAAACACTACATCGTACACACACTCGTGTCCTCCCAGCCCTCCCCCATCCCACATCCGCTCCCTTCACCCACCCCTTTTCTCGGGATCTTCAGACGATTGTGCAAACATTAATGCCTCAGATGGAAACTCTGCAGCTGTTTCCTCATATCCTGCCTCGACTAACGTCCAAGTCTCACCGATTCCTCCACCAGCTGAAGCCCTTTTCCGCCCTCGATGTCCTTTCAAAGTAGCCACATTTAATGTGCGCACTCTGATACGAATAGGACAACAGGGGAGTTTAGCTAGCCTGCTCGAGACCCTAGCCATCGATGTGTGTTATATCCAAGAGACTCGCATTCAAGACTCCAGCTCCATTATCCGATTGAAGTCCCCATCAAACCCGTCAGTGAAGTTTCCCTTTCGCCTCACTGGGGACCCTGAGGCTGCGGCTTTCGGTTTTGCTGGCGGTGGTGTGGCTCTCAGTGAGACAGTTGAAGCCGCGCTTCTGGACTGGATTCCAATCGACAGTAGGTTGTGCGCAATGGGACTTAGAGGTTCGTGCAAAGTAAACAGCCATCGCCCCGATAGACGAAACCTGTATGTCGTGTCGGCGTACGCCCCAACGGACTGCAGCCCAGATGCAGTCAAAGTCGTAGCCTACACGAGTTGGGGTGATATCGTGATTTTAGCAGGAGACATGAATGCTAGAGTAGGCCGACTGACTTCGAGTGAGGCGCATCTGGGTGGTCCTTTCGGACTAGATTCCTGTCGCTCGGAAAATGGGGAACGGTTGTTGGCGCTTTGTTCCGACCACTGCCTATTCCTCGCCAATACGAACTTCAGACGCTCCGACTGCCGGAACACCACTTGGCGTCCGCCCTCCTCGAGTTGGAGACGGACGCAGATCGACCACATCGCTATAAGCTACAAATGGCAGGGTTGTATACAAGACTGCCAATCGTACTGGAGCACCCCCCTCGAATCCGACCACGCGTTAGTTTGCGTCAAGCTGTCCATGTGCTTCGGTGGGCGTTCCAAACGCTTGACACATCGACGGCTAGACTATCAGTTGTCTGAACCAGCACGCCTAACTGTCTTTCAGAACCCGCTAGCTGAGAAGCTAGAATCAACCCCACTCGATGACGTTAACCAGCACTGGTCCTTTATCAAGAATGCTCTGCATTCTGCTGGCTTAGTTAGTTG